GGGGACAAAGGGGACGAGGCAGGGCTCGAGTGGGACAAGGCAGGGCTCCTGGGGGACCAGGGGGATGAGGCAGGGCTCCTGGAGGGGGACGAGGCAGAGCTCCTGTGGGACAAGGAGGACAAGGCAGGGCTCCCTGCGGCTCAGCCAGCGCGGTGGCAGCAGCTCTCTCATGGGAGGTCGATGCCAGGCGGGTGCACTGATGGCAGCGAGGATCAGCGTGCCATGTGGAAAATGGCTTTTTTATTGGTGTAACCAAAAACCAGCTTTCTCACTGCTGTTCCAGTGGGAAAATAAGAAAATTAAAGAAGAAAACTTACTCAGCTTTTCAGTTGGAGTTTCCCAGGGTAGGAACTTTCCTGGGGGAGGTCACATTTTTAGTGTTTTCTCAAAGAAACAGTGTCTGGGGAGGCAGAGGATGACAACAGCCCAGGGAAGCTGCTTGATAGAGCCTGCTGCAAGGGACTGGGCTCTGCAGGAGTGATCTAGTTGGAACTCAGCTGCTTGATTTGCACTTTGAATATCGTTTCAATGTGCTTTGTGTGCTGCTGGTTTTCCAGTGTGGTTTTGGAGAGAGCAAGGAAGGGATTAAGACGAGATCTTCAGGTGATGTGGAGCCTCCAGGGTCTCCTGGGAAAGGTTTTCACCCTGGGATGAGGAGAACACGCTGAGTATTGGAGTTACCAGGTTTGGAGTTGGCTGTAGGTTGTTCTTTGGTCTGATGGAACTGCTCAGTGTTTCAGGTTTGCTCTTTAGGAGTGAGCAGTTCTCTGTTTCCTTCCCTCCTGGATCTCCTCTATCACCTGGGACCCTACGATTAGGATTTCTTTGCTTGGTAAGAGAAGGACTTTGTGTTCCTGTGTCTGAAGAGCCATTCTTTGAGCCAGCTAGATTTCCTTTCCCCCAGCGAGGGGGAAGGGGGAGCAGACTGAAACCTTCTGCTGTTTGTGAGTCTTTTGCTTTGTTTAAAACTTGAGCTCAGATCATGACAGCAATCCCCACCTGAGCAAGTGAAAATCCTGATGGATTTCAGGTCAGAGACACCCGCTGCCATCTCTGAACAGTCTCACTCAAGGCAAAAAAGCATCAATTTCCACATTTCTGGGACCTGTGCAAAACAAGCTGCTCGATTTCAAGGGCTCATGTTACCCGAGGCCGCGCAGAACAATCACACTTGCAACCAGTCACCGTTGGAACAAAAGCATCAGCACTGACTGGAACTGCCCCTTGAGCTGAGGAAAACTCCATCCTCCTGCTGAGCTGCACACCAGAAATGTTTGGGTTTCTCTCCTCATACAGGGTTTCCTTGAAAGAGGAAAAGTTGCAGATTTTACCACCTAACATCTGCTCATATTAATAGTTGTGGATTTTAGTACTGAGATGTTAATCCATGTGGTGGATTTCATAGAATCATGGAATCACAGAATGGTTTGGGTTGGAAGGGACCTTAAAGCTCATCCAGTCCCAACCCCCCTGCCAGCAGCAGGGACACCTTCCACTAGACCAGGTTGCTCAAAGCCTCATCCAACCTGGCCTTCAACACTTCCAGGGAGGAGCAGCCACAGCTTCCTTGGGCAATTTCATATTTTACTAGATGGCTGTCCTTAAAGAGGCAACGGCTGGGTTCTTGTGAACTAGCAATTAACTTGGATCTCCTTAATGACTCCAGAGAAGCTGCAAAACTGCAAAAAATCACATTTTGGAGTGGCAAGGCCTCAAAAATCACCATTCTCTGTCTTTTGTAGCACATCCCAGGCAGGAGTACTCAAAAAAGTAAACTCTCAGGTTAGGATCGAGTTCAGAACCAGTTCTGTCTGGGGCTGGTTAGATTTGTCCTGTGTACAGTTGCTGTCTCTGAGCCCTGCCAAAGCCACGGGGAGATGGCCTTCATAAACATAAAAACACTTATTAACTTAAGAATTTAGGAAGAAACTTGTCATCTAGAGAAATTTTTAATGCCATTTTTTTAAACTGATCATGTTTTTAAGAGAGCAAATGTGAAAATTGTTATTGCTGTGAAGACTGATTAAGGGTAAAGCAGCCTTAAATGGAACTGGTGGGAGGATGAGCAGGACAAAAAAGCCTGCCTGGGGACAGAGCAGTGGGTATTGTGAGGGTGAGTTCATCAGGAGAAAAGAGGCAAATGGAGAAAAATGGGAAGGAGAAGAGCAGAAAGAGCTTGAGTGAAACTCAGGTAGGTGAGAGCAGAGCTGAGGGCAAAAGATCCTCAGAGGTGAAGATGTGGACGGAGGAATTCTGGTCAGAGGAAGGTGGGAATGACTTGGATTGTGTGTGTGCTGGCAAGGCTGGAGTGAGAGAACTGGGATCATGGAGAAGGTAGTTCCACCCCTCTAGTCATGACAGTGCTTGCCTGGATTTAGATCAATACTGCAGTGGTGCTGTGAGAGTGAGAGACGTGCTGTGTTTAAGTTGTTTTTAAAAGCAATTCCTGGTGTCACTGAGCATTTCCATTTCTCTCCGTTATCCCAGGCTCTTCAGAAACACGAGTGAGTTCAGCTACAGTTTTGCAATACAAATTCCCTGGATTTATCACTTGCTCTGAGCACTCTCAGCATCTGCCCGGACGTGTGATGTATTTAAACCTTGTCATTCTTCTCTCTCTTTCAGGTCGCAAAAGAATTTGGTTTCAGGAATAACGGCTTTTCTGTCTACACCAATAGAAACAGGACGGGAGAGATCACAGCCTCACAGAACAAATCCCTCAACTTACTGAAGATCAAGTGAGTGCTGACAGGGAGGGGTGTGGGTGCAGGGGGGCTTTGGACACGAGGGTGCCTCTCCTCTGAGCTTGCCTGGAGCTTTTGGCTCTCACTCACCGGGGTAAAACTTGGCTGAGGTGCCAAAATGAGGGTGATCAAATTGACTCGGTGGCAGCCGTTTCTTAGGTCACTCCTTGCCTTGTGTTTTCTTGTCGTGGTGAGGCAGCAGCAGGTCTCCTCTTTGCTCTTTTACAACCAGCAGCAAGCTCCCTTATCCCTGCTCTGCTCATGCTGTCCTTTTTTTTCCTGCATGGATGCCAGAGGCTGGTAGCCCCCGTGCCAGGTTTCCTGCCTCGCGTAGCCGGGTGTCTGTGGAGATCTGAGGTGCCGAATGGTGCCGTCGCTTCACGTTTTCACTTGAACATCTTCATTCTGTTCGTGTCAAGAATAATGTGAAACTGACTAAAAATACAGGAGCTGTTACCACCGCTTGGAACTTGTCACCTGAACGTGTCAGCGCTGGCAGCTGCCTTGGGAAGGCTGTGACTTGAGGGATCCACGTTAGTCCCGTTCCCCGCTGGAGCTCTTGCCTCTCTCCATAAGCTCCTTTTGTGTTTTTCTTCATCTTTTTCCCTCAATCTCATTTCCTAATGAAAAGATTGGATGTGAGGAAGAATTTCTTTGCTGAAAGGGTTCTGAGGCATTGGAAGGGGTTGCCCAGGGCAGTGGTGGAGTCCCCATCCCTGGAGGGATTGAAGAGTCGTGTAGACACAGTGCTGAGGGACATGGGTTAGTCGGGGACTGGTCAGTGTTGGGTTCATGGTTGGACTCGATGATCTCAAAGGCCTTTTCCAACCAGGGCAGTTCTGTGTGTGATTCTGTGAGGGATTTGCATTTGTTATGTAGACAACTGAAGCAGCAGAAGGAGGTGGCTAATGGAGCAGCTTCGGACTGCCATGTTTGCTAGTCTGGCTGTAGTTTGTGGTGAATTACGTGCTCCTCCGTGCTCCGGGGAGGTTTGCTACCCAGAAGCAATGACTGATATACCCACGTGATGTTTTTCCACCCACAGGCATGGCGATATGCTGTTTCTTTACCCCTCGAGCCCAGCTGGCTGCTCCTCAGAGACCATGGACACCTCTGTCTCCCAAGGCTTGCGACCTGCAGGGGCTCCCCAGGTGGTGGAAGATGAGATCGACCAGTATCTGATCAAACAGGATGGGAAGATTTACCGAAGCAGAGACCAGCAGCTGTAAGTAGGGGTGGACTTTGTTTCTGCCGACGCATCTGTGTCTCACCAGAACTCAAAACATCTTGTTTGAAACCAGCAGCCAGGAAATGTGTTATGGGAACTGCCCTCCGAGCTGCTGCTCTATCCCTTGCTGCCTTTGAAAGGTTCACAAGGGAAAACAGCCTTTGCCATTGTCCTGGAAGGTTAAATCGAGCTCTGGTGAGCTGAGGAAGGAAGCAGATACCAAAATCCCAGGGTCTTTGCCAGGAAGGACTCATTCAGAGCATCTATTGTTCTGATGGAGGTGGCCCCTGCTATGGGATTTGCGCTCGTATATTTTGTGCACCTAAAACATTTGGAGCTCTCTAGATTAAAAGGAATACTTGGAATTCTTTCCCGGGATGTCCTGGCAGCTGGTGCTGTGTGGAAATCCTGGGCTATGCTCTGTGTGTGGCATATTGCTCAATAAGCAGGAGCCTGCTGTCTGCAGGAGCTCCTCTTCTGTATGGTCTCAATATGGAGCTCTCTGCTGGTTGGGTCCCAAGGTGACAGCGTGTGGGGTGGCAGGGCCAGGTCTTCATCTCCCAGGAGAGATCTGGGTGGGGAAACCTGCTTTCAACCAGAGCTGCTGCCTCAGCATCACCCAGCCAGCAGCAGGCCAGCATTGAGGTCAGATTTGTTTTCTGAATCATGGGCAGCTCCTCTGTTGGAGTGGAGACCTGAGCTCTGTCACCTTTTCTGGCTGCTGTGCCATCTCTCCCTGCTTGGGCAGAGTCTACAGTTGGACTCGATGATCTTAAAGGTCTTCTCCAACCTAAATGATTCTGTGATTCTGTGAAACAACCGTGTGTTGCTGTCTCTGGAGCTGGGGTGGGTGCGTGTGGCACCTCACCTCAGATCTCCCAACCAGCAGCACTTCTGTGTCTTCAGATCCAGCCACTCCTCATAAAGCAAAAACACAGAAGTGAAGGGAGCGAGTGGCAGCATCCAACGGCAGAGATGTGGAAATGGGGCTGGAGTCTCTGCCTGCTTAGTTTTTGGCTTCCTTTCCATCACGTGCCTTTCTGACCTTTCTGTGAAACCAGGGAGTCCATTTTACTCACAGAAATGCAACAAAGTCCAGCTTTGCCAAAACTCTAAACTGTGAGGGGCTGAGGCAAACCAAGCAGCTTGGATTTTTTTGTAAAAGTAAGAGCTAATACCACCATAAATCTCCACTGATGCTGCTAAAAGGTTCTCTGTCAGGATGGTTGTTTTTTATTGCTCACCATTAACAAGGTCCCAGTTGGCTCCTGGCCCTGATGTCTGTACTGGTTGTCGGTTTGGGGCTGGACCTCTCTGCAAAGTAACTTTGGAAAGGGCTTGAGTGAGTATTTTTGAAGGTGAGCAGGAATTCTTGCTAAAGCAGAACAGCTCCCCCTTCTCCATTGTGTTGTCTTCCATCTGGTTTATCTTCCTGCAGCAGCAGCGAGGAAGTTTGGAGAGATGTGGCCTTTAGGTGGAAAATCCTCTCTAACCTTTTCAGGCTGAGATAAACGAGGGAAGGGTCACGTTATCAAAACAATAAAGGCAAAACCCACCACTCCATGGCAAAAAAAAAAACATTGTCTTTCACTTGACCACATTTTTCAAAAGAATAAATTGAAGGGATTGTTCTCAGCAGGGAGCCAAAGCACAGTGGTGGATATTTATGGTAAAAGGAGTGTGTCTGGGCTTGTTCCTGTGTTTGTGAGTGCACATCCATCGAAACAGGGAGGGATGCTGGCGGTGGGCTGGGTGCATTAGCAGCCTTTAGTGCTCCTTGATGTGCATTATCAGCCACAAGACTTTGTTAAAAGCAATGCTGCAACTGGATCCCATCCATTTTGTCTTGATGAGAGCCAACATCCCTGCTCCTCTCTAGGGACCTTCCTTTGAAACCCAGCACTGACCTTGTGCTGGGGCAGAGGTGTGGGGTGCTTTTTTTGTTGTTGTTTTGGGTTGTTTTTTTTTTTTTAAAGCAATCACCTCAAAAGGAGATGTTTTCCCCTCTGTTTTGTAACTTTACCCAGCGGGTCTTTATCTGTCTGATAAACACATGCTTCCCTGTTTGTTCCAGACCATCCTCTAGTGACTGATAAAGGATGAATGTTTTAGTTGTCTTTTTTGTTAAAACCACACAAGCCAGCCCCCCTCCCCGTGACTTGAATTGAAACCCAACCCCAAGGCGGGGTTGTAAAACTTGAGAAGCTGTGATCTGACATCAGTTCATGAGGCTCTTCAGAGAGCAGAGCCACTTGCCAGCGACACCGACGCGAGGAGGGTTTGATCTTGACCCGGGACTCTCAGGTTTAACCTGAAGCTGTCGCCGTCTCTTTATGTGAAATTATCTTGTGGTGACCCCTCTGTAATATTCCCTAGTGGGTGGAGAGTTGCTCAGAGCTATTTGGTTGTATAAATCTTCCACACCAGAAGTCTAAAGCAACTTTTACAGTCTTAACTTTTGCCTTATTAAATAAAATTTAACCCTTTTTCTCTTTCTCTTTGCGTAGGTGTCGCCACGGCCCCCTGGGTAAATGCGTGCACTGTGTGCCACTGGAGGTAAGAGCCACAGGAAAGTGTTGTAGAGAGTCACACAAAACCTTTTGTCCTCTTGGATTCAGCTTTTCCTCGGAGCTCTGCCCATGCAGAGGTGGCAGCTCTGGGTCAGAATCCCGCCGTGCACCATCAGAGGTGCCGGTCACACCCAGGATCACTGAAGCTCTGGGCCTTGGTGGTGCTGGGTTTGTCCTGGTTAACGCTCTGGTTTTCTGCAGTAATGGCTTTAACAGAAAGTGCTGTAGAAAAGCTCTCATTTTCCTCCCTCTTCACTCTGACCTGGAGCTTCTTGTTTCATCCCCTCTCTCGTGGATCCCAGCGCTTCCCAGTTTCACTGTGTGTTCTTCAGGTCGAGGGCAGCTTTAGTGACGCCTACAAACGTGCTGAGCCGTGTGATTTATGGCACGAAGCAGAGATCCCTCAAAAGTCCCTGTTCCCCCACTTCCCTGCCATGTGCTGGGGAAGTTGTTTGAGCAGCTGGGCTTTTCGTTTTGTTTGCTGTGAGATATTTGAAAGGGGGGGGAAAAAAAAAACCCCAAAAAACCCAAACCATTTTGCCTTTGAGGCTCGTTCTGATTTGTGGATCCAATCTGTTAGACAAGTGGGAGGTGATAATAAAACTCACTGCTGTTCCTATCCCAGTAGTAGCTGCCTTGAAAATGAGCCTAAATTTTCTTGATTGTTTCCACATTGAGAGCCAGTGGGGTTTGACTCTAGAACATCCATTTGTGTAGTGATCAGTGTGTGATGATCAGACAGGTGTCTGACCTGGCTTTTCTTTCTGTGGTGTTTTTTTGGCAGCCTTTTGATGAGGATTATTTAAACCATCTGGAACCTCCTGTGAAGCATATGTCCTTCCATGCCTACATCAGGAAGCTGACCGGAGGGGCAGACAAGTAAGAAAATCTCTGTGTTTAAGGGAATCTAGTTTCTTTTTTTTTAAAATACAAAGTACAGACAGATCTGGGCAGAGAAGTGTCGGATACAACTATTGAGTGGCAAAGGGAGGAGAAAACAACATGTTGAATAAAAGCAGCAGCAAAAAACAAAGACAGGGAAAAAATTTAAGCCTGTTTTTTTTTTTTTTCTTGGGTTTTTTTATTTTCTCTGGCAGTGTAATTGCTTTCAGGAAACACTGATGGGGGGAGAAGGCCAGATGGAAGGAAAAAGGTTCCCTAATTATACCAAGGTCTGAACCTGGGTCTCAACTCTCATGGAGAGGCACTGAGACTCGTGAACCTGGGGAGCTTTTTTTACCTACAGATTAAATAGGACAGAAAGAGGAGCCCAGCATTGCTCAGGGCCTGATTCTGCTCCATGTATCCTTAGTGAGACCCTTTCTTGTCATGGTGCTGTCGTTCCCCACCCTCTAGGTGGAAAATCACGCTGGGGTGGAGGATGCTGTGCTGCCACAGGCCAGGGAAGCGCTGAGCAGAGGAAGCTCTGACACAAGTGTTTGTTTCTTCATGCCTTGCAGTGGCACACATGTTCAGTGAAGGATCTAAAGTCCCCTTGAGTGATGTCAGGGAACCCACTGTTTTCTGAGCTGCAGCTCCTTTAGATGAGTTCTGCAGTGGTGTAACCTTCTCCTTCCTATTCCTAAGTGTCACTGAGATTTTTTTAATATCTTTGTGAGATGCAGCTCGAGTCTGTAAGACTTTAATTGGAAGGGAACTTCCCTTTGCAGGAAGCCTTGTGCACATGGAAGGAGCTCTAATTTGCCCTACCAGTATAATCCATTGCTTCCCACGTGCTGCATAAATTATTGAAGCAGAGTCCTGGGAGTTTTCTGGCTCTAATATCTGCTTGAGAGCTGGGCTGGAGGGCACGTCAGCCTTGTGACCTCCTCACTAAATGGGCAGCAGAGGTTCCTTGGGGACCACAGGAGTGGAGCATCCCCCCTGTGGGAGTTTGCAGGGTGCTTTGAGATCCTCTGAAGATGCAAAATATCAATGCCACCGTGTCTTTGCTTCCTCTGTGATATTTCTATCCACTTGCCTTTTTTAAGACCCAAAAGTATTGACTGTGGTAACAGCAGCCTTCTCTTTTTTTTCCTTCTTGCAGGGGGAAATTTGTTGCCCTGGAAAACATCAGCTGCAAGATCAAATCAGGCTGTGAAGGGCACCCTCCTTGGCCAGAAGGCATTTGCACAAAGTGTCAGCCAAGTGCCATCACTCTCAATAGACAGGTGAGACGGAGCTCGCAGGAGCCCTTGTGCTTCAAGCTGAGAAGGGACTTGACTTTTATTTTTGGAGAGATGACTTCAAGAACAGCCAACTTGGAGCAAGAAGCCTTTGCACAGCAGTTGTTGGGGGAAATGGCTGTTGAGATCTTCAGTCCTTGTAGAAAAGGATTTCAAAATGTGTCTGGGTACTAACGTGGAGGACATCTGAGCTGGCACCACTAGCAATCAATCCCCACTCATGGGATCCAAGAGGCCACCCACTGTTTCTTCTTGTTTCCTCTTCAGTTTCACTGTTTATTTAGTTGTAAAGGCTTTTGGGGTAAGGGTGTTAGTGAAGAAGCCAAGCTAATGGGATGCTGGGGGTGCTCAGCGTTTCCCCACAGCCCAACCCGTGGTGAGTTCTGCTTGCTGGGCAGGAGAGCGATGCTGAAGGTAGCAGAGGGGAGAGGGAGGCAGCCAGCTAGCTTTCCCTGTCCCTGCTCTGGCAGGACCCTGCTGTAAGGGGTGGGGTGTGTGTCCCCCAGCAGCTGGGGGTCTCTGGGGAAGGTATTGGTGATGAGCAGAGTGAACAGAGCCGGTGGAGGATGGCCTGACGCTTGAACTTTGTCAAACAGAAATACAGGCATGTTGACAACATCATGTTTGAGAACCACACCATTGCAGATCGCTTCCTAGACTTCTGGAGGAAGACAGGAAACCAACATCTTGGGTATCTCTATGGCCGGTACACAGAGCACAAAGACATCCCTCTGGGGATCCGGGCGGAGGTTGCTGCTATCTATGAACCCCCACAGGTAAAAGCTGTGCCGTGGCACCACTCGTAACAATCATCAGGGAACAGGGAAACGTGGGGGAAACTTCACACAATATTTCCCAACTGCAGCTCCATAAGGAAAAAGGTCCTGTGGAAAAGATGTGATTTATGTCTTTGTGTGTTTTATCATCACTGGAAGAATTTTAAAACCCAGATTGGCTTTTTTTGTTAGTTTTACATTTACTTTGTGCTCAGTACCTGAAGGGGCTCCAGGAAGGCTGGGGAGGGACTTTGGCCAAGGGCAGGGAGTGACAGAACAAGGGGTGATGGTTATAAACAGGATGAGAGTAGATTGAGATGAGATGTGAGGAAGAAATTCTTTGGTGTGAGGGTGGTGAGCCAGTGTCCCAGGTTGGCCAGAGAAGCTGTGGCTGCTCCTCCCTGGAAGTGTTCTCGGCCAGGTTGGATGAGGCTTTGAGCAACCTGGTCTAGTGGAAGGTGTCCCTGCTGCTGGCAGGGGGGTTGGAACTGGATGAGCTTTCAGTTCCCTTCCAACCCAAACCAGTCTGGGATTTGATGATTTAGAGTGACTTTTCACTTTTCCTGTTTCCTCAATGACTGGATTTCCAGGGTTATTGTACAGAACAGCTTGAAAACAAATTCTGTACTAGGAAAAAAATGTTGTGGTACTTGCTTCAATTTCTTATCAGCTCTCTGAGAAAATTTAAGCAGCTTAATTAGATAAAAATGAAGTGTGCTGCCTTGATCGAGAGGCCAAGGATGAGGTTTGGTGTCTCAGAGCAGCCGGGAGTCCCCACTAGATGGGGTACGGCACCGCACAGCACCGCGCCCGGCACCGCCGAGGCTTCCTGCACGGCTGCAGCTAGAGCAGCTCCCACCAAACCTGGTCAACTGGGGAACCCAAAAGCTGAGTTTGGTGTCAGAGAGCTGAAAATGGAGCTGGCAAAGCCACTCTGCCCTCAGCACAAGGCTCGGCTTGAAGCTGAGTTTGCCTTCTGGCTTCACTGCCGATCAGAGTCACTTTTCTAAGCGCAGACGCTGTGTGTACAAACATATCATAGTGGGTCATATGTTTTCTTCCTCTTGATGATTTTTGCGGGGTTGCTGGAGTAAAATGCAACAGATAGTCAGTGGAAGAAGAACAAATGGATCTTTGGGAGCGTGTGTGTGAGAGCAGAATCTCAAGCCTTTTATAAATTCTTCCCTTTCTTTCCAATATGAGCAGAGCTGTGCCCGCTATTTCCATATCACTTTTAAGCCCCAGCTTTGGAAGTTCAGCTGCTCCTGGTTGTGCAGGAGGAAGCTTTTGCTCTCCTGGCAAACAATCCCTGCTGTGCTTCTTGCCACGGCATCTCCCCACACGAGAAAGCTCAGCTCTGAAACGCACCCAGATGGAGTCGCATTTTCCAGAGCGCGAGGGGAAGACCTGGGCGTGGGCTCTGGGATTCGCTGGATTCCTGCCTCTCTGCTGCTCAGAGATTCAAACAAACGAAATGGAGATACAAAACTGGCAGGTTGAACACAGACCTTTGGAAAAAATTTGTATAATCCCTGGCTTTTCCCAAACTGCTGGGAAATAGCGATGGTCTGTTTGTAAATGCCGAGTCTTTCATTCATAAACCCCGCTGTCGTTTGCAGACGTAGCTGGAGAGCTGTGACAGGATGGGGCTGGGAGCAGAGGAGGTCTCTGGGGTGACACCAGTCAGTGGTGATGCTGAAGGGGAAGCCCAGATCTCTGTTTCCACCCTCTGCCTCGCCCCTGACCATAGCCAAGTGTACTGTATTTTCCCTGTTCTGCCTTACTAGCGCGTTTCTCTCTGCTGTAGATTGGCACACAGAACAGCCTGGAGATCCTGGAAGATCCAAAAGCCGAGGTTGTGGATGAGATCGCTGCGAAGCTGGGACTGAGAAAGGTTAGATGTTGTCATATCTCCTGCATCTTTGGCAAGGAAGAAAGTCATCAGCAGTTCTCTTCAGCTCCACGGGGTTGTTCAGGATGGTTTGGGGACACCTGAAATCTAGCTTAAATCTTGGTAGCTCTTGTGCTTTTAGGTAGGAAAAACCAAACAAGAGCGTTTTCCTGAGCACAGACATCTAGCAGGGCTGTGCAGCTGAAGTCAGCAGTCCTCTGTCACGAGTGACATCAAAGGGAGTAGCAAAGAAGGAGAAGCACAGTTTTCCTTGTATTTCTCCTCAGATAGGAGCCGTTCCGGTAGCGTTTCCCCAGTCAGCGCTAATTTGGCGCAGATGTTTCCTTCTGAGCTTGTTCTTTTTGACAGAATCAGTGCTCCAGTTCCAGCAGCAGAAGCTCCTGCTTGTTTTTAATTCTCCTCTGTGGGGTCCTGTCTCTTGGCGCCGCTCAGGCTGCGGCAAGTGAATCTGTACATGGGTTTGGAGGCGCAGGTCCCCCAGTCCTCTGTCCCCCCTGTGCCCTCAGCCTGTCCCTCATCCCATCAGGACCATCTGGGTGTTGGGATCTGCTGGTTTGCTGACATCTCCCAAACCTGTACTGATAAATTAATCCGGTTTGGGAAAACCTTTTGGTGTCGTGTGAATGCCAGGAATGAGATGTACACAAACAAGATTTGACTTGCTAAAGAAAAACACAAATCAGAAAAGGCTCCCTCCAGTAGACTGTAAACATCTGTGGTGAGGTCTTTTGTTCTCTGAAGATAAGATCTTCAGCCTTTTGCCAGTGTCTGAAGCAAAGCTTCTGTGTTATTTATTTCCAAAGCTTTTCCTTTGCTTCTCACATCAGATATTTTTAATCAATATGACTTAACACGGCACTTTACTGCTGGTTGCAGATTTTTGTCTGTCTGGGCTCTGCTGGGAATCTGAATCAGCAGATCCTCCTCTGAAGGGTTAAGGCTGTGGGAGCTGGTCACGAGGGAGCTGATGGGAGCTGTTTTTAGCAGCGTGTGTAGCAGGGTTCACCAGCGGTGTGTGTGTGTGTGTGTACACATCTCTACTCCTATGTGCAAACAATGCAGAAAGC